CATAGCCTCTTCTCTTCGTTTCTTTTTTGCTTTGGGGCTCTAGCTTGGCTATTGGGTGTGGAAATGGTGTGCTTGTTATAGGCAAACTTTACTGAGTTTATAGATATAGGCTGGTTTTACTTAGCATCTTCTTAATATGATTTTTTTTTATTGTATTATATTCTTTTTTTCCCCAGGAGTTCACTGTGGAATAATATGGGGGTGATGATGGTTGATTATCATAAATAGAGGTGGAGGTGCCTCTAAGGATCTGGGAGGGGGGGTTCCTAGCCTAAGTCTCCTGGGGAAGCATCATAAAATTGCTTTTCTCTTGGGAGGAAGATAAAGGAGAACTTATTGAGCAAAAACTTTTAGCTTTGTAACAGGCTGAAGTTTAGCTTGCTTTTTTTTTTTTTTTGGTAAAGAGAGACCCTTAATGCTATAAGTAGAATGTAAGTAAAGAGGAAAAGGCAGCTGGTGTTAGTCACAGCTTGCTAAAGAATGGAGGTATTTGCACCGTACAGTGCATTTGGTCATGAAGGAAATTCTAGGGAAGAATTTATCCACTCTGGTTCAATTCTCATTTTATACCTCCAATCTGGGCAAAATCTCAGAGGTCTTTTGATTGCACAATTTGGAGGTGGAGGGTTGTGAAACAAGTTTTCCTGACTTCTCATTGACCACAGGTTCTGCTTAATTGTTGAGGTAACGATGAAGGTTCTCTTGCCCAGATGAGTGCAACTAATTATTTATTAATATTTTTATTTACATGACTATCCTATGATTATGTTAGCCCATGTTCCCCCACTGCCTGGAACTTTGCCTTTAGCTCTTCCCATTGCTTCAAACTCTGTAATGAATTGACTGGAAGGTGGGACTAGGGCAAAGTATTGGACTTTGTATCCAGCTGCTGTAAATTCTGGGAATTGAAATTCACCGCGCCTATATGAACACTTGGTTAATCTGCTCTGGTTTGCCAACACCAGAGCAGAATATTCCTTTTTTCTAGTCGCTTTTCTTTTTTTGCTGAAAGTCATTTCCCACTAACTTCATCACTTTTTGTGCAGGTTCAGGGTGGTGTAACTCCGTGGAGAAGAAAATCTATATCCCGCTGAACAGAACAGCCACCTGTGTCCGTCTCCTGAATGCCACCCATCAAATAGGCTGCCAGTGTGAGTGTCTTGTGTTGAAGGAATATTTACTTGGGAAGGGTAGAGGGGCAATGCCAGCTCGCCCATGTCTGTTTGGTCATAAATAGGCCAGGCAGGTGTGGACAATAGGCAGGCTACCTGCAGCTCCAGATCTGTTTTGGTGGTCCCCAGAACCCATGGTGCCATGCCACCAGAGTTCCACAGCAAAGGAGCAATATAGGACAGCAGGAACTTTTGCTTCTCTTCTTCTTTTTTTTTTTTATGAATCAGAGCACTGGATGGTCCTCTGTCAGAGATGCTCAAGTGGATCCTGCATTGAGCAGGTCTTTGGACTAGATGACCTCTGAGGTTCCTTCCAATTGTATGAGTCCTAAAAGAGATGAATCTTAACTATTCTCCCCAAAAGAGCTTAATCTTACAGTCCTGTCTGTGAGGGAGTGAAGTTGGGGTTGCAAATCAAATTGTTGAGGCCTATTCAGTAAAGTAACATTTAGCGTTATGCGCAAACACAGGACTTGCTCCATCCTTTCATAAACGACTTTTAAGGAGGGGGAGCAAGCAAAGATTTTGCAATGAAAATTGCAGAGTACTGGGAGAGTGCTTTGTAGACCAGAGGGGTGCGGGAATGGAGATTTGGAGGTCATCCCCAGAAAGTCTTCAGAGATACTGTTTTGGGCAGGGCAGAGTTCTTGCAGCCAACAGCCATTCTTTATTTAACATTTCAGGGGCTTGGAGGGTCATTGAGGACACTGCAACATCAATAGAAAGGGTGGTACAAACCACTGGTTCATTTTCTGGATGTTAAAGTGTTATTAATAAATGAAATGGCTGACTTGATATTTGCAGAGGCTAAATACAGCTATTTTATCCTTAGTCCCCAAATGGGGACAATCGGCCAATTATTGGGGGTGATACAGGAAAGCCTTGCAGAACCCTGAAAAGAGCCCCGTCCATCGCAAAAGGGCTCTGGGAGTGGCACAATGTGTCCTAGAGGGAGGGGGGTGCAACTGCTTGGTCACAGGCCCCCCGCTGCTGGTTTCGGAGGAGGTATAATTCTGCTTATCTGATGTCCTCAGTCTGACTTTTTCTCACAGCCTCTCTGAATGGAGATACCGGAGTAATTCATGTAGCAGAGGAGGAGTCGGATCTGAACTGGGTGCTGTCAGATGGGCCACATCCCCCTTACATGGTACTGCTAGATACAAAGCTTTTCACAGGGTAAGTGGGCATTTCCCTCCTCCCCCCAAAATTTTTCCTTATTTTTCCTGAATCTGCAACTTCTGCAGAAAAAGTTTAGCAAGATGTTCCTTTGGTATCCAGTGACCAAGTGCACAGTTTTACTTTAGCATCATGTGCCCTGGACTGTTTTTGAACTACTGTCCTTCGGTAGATAGTTGGGGAGAAAAATGGCCCCAGGAGATACTTGCTAGGTATAAAGAAAGACACTGGTTCATCTCTCTTGGCACCTGCTGTTTTGGCTTAATAACGTCTGTTTGTGTTTTTCCAGTTTTCCAAGCAGAAGCAAGCCAGAATCCCACGCAATAAATGAAGTGTGCATAAAGCCCTCTTGGTTTCTTAGCTGTGTTCTACCACAGTTTCGTGTGAACACAAGCCATTAATCTGTGTACTCTTTCCAGTCACTTGAAAATGCTTCTGGGCAAAAGGCAAGAATGCCTCTCTGGGGAAACCCTAGGAAACCTAAGATTTATTCCATTCCTATAGAAAGTAATGCTATTTTTTGTTTGTCCCACCTTGACTTCATCCCCTTAGTGCTGTAGTAGCAGGTAATAAAAATATGGTTATATTTTTCATGTTGTGGTTCTCTTGGCAGAAGAGTGATGGAGAAGCTGAAGGGCACCTCTCGGATCGCAGGGCTGGCGGTGGCTCTCTCCAAGACCAGGCCCCCTGAAGGCTTTTCTCCCGGCTTGCAGTGTCCCAATGATGGCTTTGGTGAGGATGGAGGAAGCCTGGCCCTTGTGGGGTGTTCCAACTTGCCTCTTAAGCGCTTGCCTGGGTTGCTTCTGTGCTGGCTGGCTTCTGATCAAACTCAGCCAGAGTGGGAGAATTTACACTCCCTTAAGATCAGTCCCTGTCTTCCTCGTAATCCTCTGGCAGACATTTGGGTTGAAAAAGAGCAACGCCTGAGGTCAGCTGTCATCAAAAGGGGAATCCTTCTGTGGAGCCTTTTCAGTTGTGGAGTTACTATCACTGCTAAGGGGAATCGTGCCCTTGAGAAATGAGTGGAGAATTTCTTCTGCTGAAAAAAAAATGGGAGAGTTTGTCCATACAGTTTTTCTCCCTATGTAATTTGAAAGGCTGTTAGTGCCCACAGTTGACTGTAATGTGGAGGTTTAAGAACCTGGATGATGCTTTAATGTATGTGTGAGCAAGCCTCGTGTGCAGAAAGGCAGGCAGCTGGAACTGCGACCCTGGAAAGGAGGCAGATAACAGCAACCAGACTGTTGCTTTTCCTCTGGTGTGAAAGGAGCCCAGTATATGGGCACAATGCCATTGTTTATGGTACATGATGTTAGTATCTCAAGTAAGAATAGAGTCACACTAGTTTAGAGGAATGTAGGGGCACTGTGGTAAAGTCATCCCCTAAGTATTATCTAAGACATTCCAACTATAGAGATCATAATATGATTTACAATATTTTCTTTATTGTTCCTGTGTAACAAACCAAAGGTATATATCCCGTGACCTTGCTTTGTCCAGGGCTCTTCTGTATTCCTTTGGTGAGGAACCCAATGATCACTGTAATTGTGTGTGCTGCTGAAAGATATTTCTTTCAACTGTCTCCAATCACTTTGGTCCGTACACACATGCTTTTCTGCCTCTTTTCCCATTTTCCTACTTCCTTTCGACTCCTACCTTGTCTCATTCCTCTTTTTCTTCTCATCCCCGACTTTAATTCTTTCTTTCTGGCACTCCCCATGACTTGACTTGATTTCACAGTCAAATGTGGAGAATGTTTTCAGCAACCTTCCTAGCTCTGTGACAGGCCATGATTTCCAAGCCTGGGAGCACACATGTCTCCTTGCTCTGAAAGCTTCTACTCTTCCAGCAGCTGTGATTCGTGGATTCCTCATCTCTTTCCTCTTTTTCGTTCAGGCGTCTACAACAGCAGCTACGGCCCTGAATACGCCCATTGCAACATGACCAAGTGGAATTATCTTGGGAACAGCCTCTCCTACCTGGACTTTGGCTTCCCTATCTTCCTTCTTCAAGATGAAACTGAAACTGAGGTTATTAAGCAGGTACCGTACTTTATGAAAACTCTGCCATCCTTTCCTGCAGCAGGAAGGACAAGAGAATATTTTAAAGCGTGCAGCTAAACACAAAAGTTAGTACCCAAGTATAAAAAATTAATTTATCTGAGCAAAAAATATATCAACAAAACAGTGAAAATAAGAGAGGGAGAATCAGGAACCAACCCCCCCCCCCCAAAACTACAGAAAAGTTATTTTAAAAAGAAGAAGAAACAGCTCAGGAATATAAATTTGAAATCTAAAGGGGAGCAGAAAACAATAAATATCCATATTCAATGTCTCTGTTCAGAGACATTTGTATACCTGGAAGTAATCCATTAGAAATGTTTAATGCAGCAAATTGGGTGAGATTTTGGCATTCTCTTGTAAAATCTGAAAAGACTGTTGTTCTAGTGCAGTGTTTCTCAACCTTGGCAACTTTAAGACGGGTGGACTTCAACTCCCAAAATTCCCCAGCCAGCCATGCCATGCTGGCTGGGGAATTGTGGGGGTTGAAGTCCACCTGTCTTAAAGTTGCCAAGGTTGAGAAACACTCCTCTAGTGTATGTATAGCACTTTCAGCATTTGAAAAGCCTATCAGTGCTAGGTCTCATTCCATTCAAAAGCAAACTCATTTAAGTGCCAACATAGAGGGGAATTATTGGCACGCTCAGGGGAACTCCTGATATACAGGAGTTTGGGACAGGAAGGGGAGGATCAATTCTTGCTTTGCAGAATTGCAGTCAAGAGAATTCTTCATTTTCCTTTAGATCTATAAACAGTGCAAGTTCTGTGGGGAGGGCCATCAAGGGGAGTGGCAGGGTTCAGGGGCTTTGGCTTGATCTCATCATGGCTGCTCTCTCTGCCCCACAGTGATTCAGCCAGACCTTGGCAACTGGCAGAAGCCAGCCATGTGGACTTCTCTCCCACCTCAGCAAAGGGGGTTCCTGGAAAATATTTCTCCACTCTAAAGGAATAGGAGAGCTGGTTCAGCTTGTATGTTCTGGTTGTACTGAGTAAATAAAACGAAGGAACCATTTGCAGAGGCAAAAAGCTTGCCATGTTGATTCTCTGCTCTGCCCCATCTCTGTTTTTTGAAATGTTAGGTTAAGAAATCAAAATAAGGAAGTCCCATATGATACGAGTTATTGTTATAACTGACTCTTTACTTGGATGTGGTTTGTACTGAATATGTTTAAAATGTGGCAGTTTTAATGTTTAGATATTGAGATATAAGACCATTTTTAGTCATGCTAGAATTCTTTATATGAATGAATATTTGTTTAATTAAGGTGGTGCTTTCCCAAAGAGACTTTGGGGGGTGCCATTTAGTTGGAGTCAGTCACAGGGTGAGGTTGGTGTATGGCTCAGAGGATTACCGTTTTTTTTACTTTAGTTTTAATAGTAGATGTCATGACTCCTCTGGGTGTGAACTGTCGAGAATAACATCACACATTGATGTAAACAGATAAGCAGTAGTTTGGTTTTTATCAGCTTTGTGGCTTCAGCGTTAAAGAAAGTGCAGCTAGTCCTATGAAAAAGAGTTTGCTAATAAACTGTCAGTTCTGGTTGCTTGGATGATGAAGACATGCCCACGACTCCACAAAACTGCCTGCTTCTAAAAATCAAAACACTCCCTGCTTTGTTCGCAGTGCTATCAGAAGTACAACACCCCCCTCAACGGCTCTGACCCCGAATACCCCCTCTGTGCCATGCAGCTCTCCTCCCACATGCACGCGGTGACCAGCACCGTCACTTGCATGAGACGCAGCACCATTCAGAGCACCTTCAGCCTCAACCCAGGTGAGCCCAGCAGGGGGGAGCCAGGGGCGGCTGAGCCGGGCACTGAACTCGAAGGCAACGATGCCCAGCCTGCTCGAGCCATGGGGAACGCCAGGCCTTTCCGCAGCACGCCGTGGCTGCCCTCCATAGAGTGGAGGAACTCAGACAAAAACATGCCTTAGTCATTTTTAAATTGAACTTTCATCAGTGATGGATATAGTTAATAATGCTTCTCTTGGGTTATGTTATAATTGTTATTCCGTGGCCACGTTTGGAGGGACTCTGGTTTTGGGGGCTACCCTGTGTCAAGCCATTCTCTCTCAGAACCCCCCATCCTCGGGGACACACAGTCTTATCCATTGTACATTCAGTCTTGAAAAATACACAAAATCCTGGCCTAGCCATTTTACCAGTCATAAACTCCTCCACCTCTTGCCTGAACTGGGAGGAGGAAAAGGTCCAAGTGCTATGAAACAACAACCTTCAAATCCAGGATTTCTCAGCCTTGGCAACTTTAAGACACCCAGAATTCCCCAGCCAGTATGCTTGAAGATTTGTGGACCTCAACTCCCAGAATTCCCCAGCCAGCCAGCTGGGGAATTCTGGGAATTGAAGTCCACATGTCTTAAAGTTGCCATGGTTGAGAAACCCTGTTCTAATCTATTGTGCTCCCAATTAGTGGGATCAGTTCTGTGCAAGTAGAAATCCCCTTTGTGCAGTCACCATCAGTCATATTCCTGGGTTTTGGTGTGCAACCAAGCAAGAAGCAACAATATTCTTTCCAGCTTTTGTGTGTGTGTGTGGGAGGAATGGAAAACTGGCTTGGTTTAATTTATCTAAGACTTTACAACATGCCCCCCTAAAATAGGAGATGGAAGTTCTGGCAGCTTGGGTTTCAGTGATGCCAGCTGCCCCCCCCAGCCCTCAGCTGCCAAGAAAAAAAAAAGTAGCTTGACCCATTGTCAGTGGATGCCAGAGGTCTCTGGAGAGCCAGGGTTCAGTTGCAGAACCGCCCCCAGCCAGCCAGGGTTACCCAACTGGGTATGATGGATTAATGCAGTTTTGATGGTTCAGTGGCAGAGTTTTCCTTTTGGTATTCGGAAGGTTGCGTGTTCAAACATCAACATTTCCAATGGGGCTTTGAGGTAGCCAGTCTGCCAAAAAAGATCTCACTGGCCTGGCCGGAGCTCTGTTTCCCAGGTTTGCGTTGATTTTTTTTTATATACGTACATATAAATATATATACATACGTGTATGTGTGTGTGTGTATATATGTAATTTTTTATTAAGGGTTTTGAATAAAGAGTAAAAATTAACAAGAAGTAATATAAAGTAAAGAAAGGAAAAAAGAAAGAAAAAAAAATACAAAAGGTGCAGAAAAGGAAGAATGGAAAGAAATAGAAGTAGCTTCCGATTTTCTTTGCCGAAAACATAAGTACAATTACAAAATTACCTTTTACTCTATGGTTACAAAAATAAAAGCTCTCTTTTTTTCTATGATCTGTTTTTTCTAATCATCAAAGCCATAAATCATAAGTTCATTTTTCTCTGTTTCATTCAAAAAGTCTATAAAGGGTTTCCAGTCAGCAATAAACGTAGAGATAGTCTTTTCTCTGATCAAAGAAGTCAACTTAGCCATCTCTGCAAGTTCCATCATCTTCACCAACCGTTCCTCCGTTGTGGGTAGTGCTGAGTCTGTCTACTTTCGAGCGTACAATAATCTCGCTGCAGTTATCACGTACCAAGTTTGCCTTGATTTTTGGCTGCTTGGGAGCTGTTCTCAGCGTTTCTGGATCGCCTTTCAGCTCAGCACGCAGGACCACTGGCACAGGTCTTATTCAAGAACTAAAGTCCTCGATGGCTGGTGCTGTGGGGTGGGTTGGCAATTCCCAGGTCAGAAAAGGGCCAGCGATGCCATGCTGCTGCTGCTCTGCTTTCAGAAGTCGTCTGCGATCCTCTTGCTGATTATAACGTGTGGAGTACGGTGCGGCCGGTCAATGATTCGGAGAAGCTGGATCCTAAAAGTGTCGTCATTGCTTCCTCTCGAGTAAGTGTTGCCTTGCCAGGGCAGGGTGCTGAGTTCTGGTTTGTTCCCTCATTTCTGTGTTGTGGAACAAAAACCTGATTGGCCTAATCCTGACATAGTTTGGGAATTCTTGTGTGAAATGGTCACGCTTCTGCGTTTTTCTTTTTCTTTTTCTTTTTTCTTTTTTTTTTTTTTGGTAACTTGGAAGATGTATTTTGTTTCATTCTGAACTACTTTTAATGCAAGATTCCAAAAAGGACTTGCAAACTTAACTTGACTTTAAAATGCTTGAAATCGTTTTCTGCAGCCCAGGCACCTTCCAGATGAGTGGACTTTAAACCCCCAGAAATTTCCAGCCCAGATTATTTAGGAATTCTGGGAATTGCAGTTCCAATTCCTCAAGGAGACTGGGGAAGGCTGGCCTAAAACATACAAATTATGCAAATTATAAACATAATACAATAATATATAGCAGATAATGTGTAATAATGTAATATAAGAATACAAAGCAAGAAATTATACAATATACACAACATATAAATTTATTTAAAAATGCAAACTATAAATTGTTTCATTCTGACAGGGCTGGTGCACTCTGGGTTGCTTTGATCAAGCAGCACCATCAATTGGTAACCTGGAAGCACGTCTTCTTTGCCACAGCACCTGTCTTCCAGAATGGGGCTCCCCCTGAGATCCGGGTGGCTCTCACCCAACTGGTGTTCCGGAGGGCCTTGAAGACCTAGTCTTCTCCAAGGCTCTGGGCTAGGGTGGCTGGAGTCCTTTGCTGGGTGTATGATATGTTTGATTACAGGTAGTCCTCATTTAATGACTGCTTCATTTAGTGATCATTCGCAGTAACGATGGTGATGAAAAGTCACTTTGCGACCAATCCTTGTATTGACGACCTCCACAGGTCTGTAAAGCAAAGGAAAGCTGAAGTCAGATCACAAGCGCAGTGACCGCTTCACTTAACAACCGAGTGGCTGGTCCCAATTGTGGTTGCTAAACAAGGACTACCTGTATTGCTGACCAAATTTGCCATCTTGTTTAATGTTTTGTGCTTTCGATTTGGATTGTATATCTGTTATTCTGTTTTTATGCTGTGAACTGCCCAGAGATGATTTGGAGTAGGGCCGTGTCCAAGTTGAAAAAGCAAATAAGTAAATAAAAAAGAGGACAACAGGTCAGCACTCAAAAAGGCACAGCCAGGGCCCCTTCTTCCCCCAGTCTTGCTTGATGAGGGTGGCCTGAAGCAGGAGGGCCAGCTGGAGCTGCCATGGAAAATGCTCCTGCCCATCGTGGCCATCTGAAGCCTTGGTGCAGAGGTCGCTGTCGTTTCAGGCCCCAGCTGCAGTTTCTGAAAACTTGCACGAGCTCATTTTGACGTGCTTGGTAGATTTTGACCATATACTTTTAGAAAATGAATGAAAAATATATTTGGGGCTCGGTGGCTGCCATCTGGGCATAAAGCCAGTTCTTTGAACTGTGCATGGAAACACGCATGGCTGACTTTGGGGAGGGAAATGCTGGCAGATCCTCTGAACTGGCTGGACCTCATTCGTCCTCTTCTTCCTGGCAGATTGACAGTCACTCTTTTTTCTGGAACGTGGCCCCCGGGGCCGAGAGCGCAGTCGCTTCCTTTGTCACCCTCTTAGCCGCAGCTGAAGCCATCCATAAAATCTCTGATGTTCAGTCGCTCCCCAAAAACATCATGTTTGTCTTCTTCCAGGGGGTAAGTTCTCATTTTTCTTTTCTTCTGGACTCTGCGGCTTGAAACGGATCTCCGATTCGGTCCCTGGAACCCGTGGGTGGGCCTGGAAGGTCTCGCTCTTCTGAAATCTCAAGGAGCAACCAGCCGCCGGCCCCATCGACCTGTGCCGTGGCTTGTTGTGACCCAATTTCCCCTGTGCTTTCAGTGGAGAGAGCTTGCCGCCACTGGATTAGGAATGAGATTTGCACTAGAGGGCTTCCTTGTCGTCAGCTAGAAAATATCATGCCCTGCAAGAACGGAATTTCCCCTGGGGAATGAATAAACCAACTAGAGAGACAGATGTTCCGAATCCCAGTTCCACCAGAGAATTAACTAATGATGGGAGAGAAGGCTCAGGAACACTTAAATAGGAAAACCTCACAGCATTTTTTTGGAGATGCCTTAAAGCAGTGTTTCTCAACCTCCGCAACTTTAAGATGGGTGGGCTTCAACTTCCAGAATTCCCCAGCCAGCAAGGCTGGCTAGGGAATTCTGGGAGTTGAAACCCACCCAATCTTAAAGTTGTGGAAGCTGAGAAACACTGCCTTAAAATGATTTCAGTCTGGTTTCTCACATTTGCTTGTGGAACATCCCATAAACAAGCATTAGAAAGTGTGTTGATTTTATATAAGGGGCATAATAGCATTCCTCAAACCAATGTCCTCCTGAGACACCCGACTTCATTTCCCAGAATTCTCAGATGGCAGGCAGGCACACGGCATTCTGGGAACCGAGACCCAGCACATTGAGAGCATATCAGGGCGGGGGAGGCTGTACAAAATCAGTCAGGAAAGAGTCCAAGGTAACTCTCTCTGTGGAAGGGAAGGATTGATGGTTTAATCATGGTTATGCTGGGAAAGGAGTAGATTTTACCTTCTTCATTTTAGCACGCTGTACTGTATAATCTGCAGTAACAAATGAAATAGGAGAAAAAGCAACATGTTTGTTGGTTCTGGTCTTGCTGGCTTCGGAAGAGAACTGTTCACCCATTACTGGGAGAGGCCATAGGAAACTGGCCCAGCTGGGTTTCGCCCAGAGTAGAGGAGGGCTCCTGGCAGCAGAACCGGAGCACCCCAGTCATTTCAAGGGTGCCAAGTAAAGTGGGCGGTTGGTCAGAAGCAATCTTCTCGAACCTGATGCCCTCCAGTGGTGCTGGAACTGTAATTTTCAGAATTTCTAGCCGGAAAGGCCGTTTCCTGCCGCCCGTGGGCAGCAGCTGTGGGCAACAATATGCCCCCAGGGGGCAGGAAAGGGCCCTTCTCTGTTGCTCATCCCCTAGCAACTGCCACACGCAGGCACGCCGTCTCCAAACATAAAGTCATACGGAGCAGATTAAAAATATATGTGCACACTGAAGCAAAAAGCAGTTAATTTGGGGGAAATGGCAGCTGCGCAAAGCCAAGAGGATATTTGAAAAGGGGGGAGGGGGTGGGGGGCCGATGGTTAGCAGCTGATGTTCCCCTCCAGGCATCTGGTTGGGAGGCCTCCTTTGATCAGCGCTGTCAACTTTACAGGGGCTTCCGCAGTCCTGTAAAATGTCCACGTGATCGTCTCTTCCCCGCCCCCCCCCACATGGGGGGAATTGGCAGTGGCGCCCTTCCTCAGAGGGCCACAAAATTAGTCATTACACAATTGTGATCGTGAAACCAGAAGTCATCAGCTCTATTATGTTTTAGGATTCTCAGCGCCTGGCAGGTCTGTTGTCCTCCTTACGACGTCTCTGTAGGGTTTTTCCAACTTTCCATGCTGTCGTGTGGTGTTGTGGGGAAGAATTTGCAGCTCGTCTAAGCAAGCTGGCAGTCAGAAGACTGAGCTGGGACCCAGGAGACCCCATTCCTCACGTTGCCCTAGATCAGTGTTTTTCAAACTTGGCCACTTGAAGCTGTGTGGACTTCAACTCCCAGAATTCCCCAGCCAGCATTTGCTAGGTTTGAAAAACATTGCCTTAGATCAGTGTTTCTCAACCTTGGCCACTTCAATTCCCAGCTTGCTCACTGGGGAATTCTGGGAGTTGAAGTCCACACTATTTCATACCACCTCAGTGGATGAAGAACTCTGTGTGGGATGGTTAATTCCAGAAAACGCGTTGTTCGGTTCTGAATGTTGCCTTTCTTTTTTTTTTCCCTCGGCCCAACATGGTTGCTCTACTATTTGGCTGAGATGTTACGAGGGTTTTGCAGAAACTGCATAAAGCTTTAAAAGCATTAAGCCTGTTTTGCAGATTAATGTTACAGTTCGTTGCTACAGCTGGATGGCTGGACACTCTCTGCCTCTTTTCTGGGAGGCCATTTCTGAATTTCCCTTCCCCTCTTAAGGAGACCTTTGACTACATTGGCAGCTCCCGCATGGTGTACGATATGCAGAATGACAGATTCCCCATCAAGCTGGAAAACGTCGATTCCTTCCTGGAGCTCAGCCAGGTGAGGGAAGACAAGCTGGTGCTGGTTTTGCTTTCCAGCAGCCATTTATCTGATTGCTTTTGGGATGTTGGCTTCTAGTGTACTTTCCGTATTTTGGAAGCGAGGAGTGGAAGGAGCCAAAGAGAGTTGGGCCTCTGGGACATGAGAATGCCCAGATGTGAGTCTGATGTCCGCTTGTATCTCACTTGCGTCTTGCAAGAAGATGTCTCCCGAATCCAATCGCTAAGAGCGAACTCCGTTTAATTTCAGATCACATTCCTGGTTCTGAGATTTTTGCACCAGGCCCTGGCTGGCGGTCTTGGGGTTCTAGTAAAAAGGGAAAAAAGAAGTAGATTGTGGGTTCATCCTTGTCATTTACTGTGCCCATTCAGTGCAGATAGCTGCCACGGGGGCAGGGGGGAGACTTGGCAACGGCTGACTTTTAAAAAGGTTGCCGCTCCCTGTCACCCTGGAGAAGCTGCTCCATGTTGAAGTGTGGCCTTCAGCGTGTTTCTGGTTCTGCACCTTGGCTTCCGCTCCTGATGGGAGGCTACGTTGCAGAAAGCCACTGGCAACCATTGAAGTGTGCCCTTCGTGCTCCTTCTGTTGCAGGTGGCACTCCAGAGTAACGCCTCTCTGTGGATGCACACCGATCCTGTCTCTCGGAAGAACCACGAGATTGAGGTAGTGAGTTGCTTCTATGGAGGCTGTGAATTGTGGTGCTTGCAGGGAAGGATGGAGAAAGCTACCGTTTGCCTCCGATAGGCCCTTATGGAAGTCCTGGGGATCGAGGGCTCTTAGCCTTGCTGGCAGCGGGATGGCCTCTGCCGGGAGACTCGTGGGCTTCCTCGGGCAGCTGGTTGGCCACGGGGGGAACAGATGGCTGGACTAGATGGGCCAGGGGTCCGATCCAGCAAGGCCAGCTCATGTTCGGATGGCCTTGGCATCTCTGCTGATGATCTGAGAAACAGCAGCGTTGCCCGTTCTGTTCCTCACGTCACAGTGGACACGTTGACAGAAGGCTGGCCTTTTCTTGCCTCAGTGGAAACCATCCCTCGCCAAAGTGTCAGCATCTCCTCCCCCGTTCAGGCCGTTCCCGCCTTGCCTTGGTCCCCCTGCTCTGCTGCCGCACTTGCCCCCCGCCATCCCCCTGGCCGGGCGACCTTCCTCTTTGAAATCCCAGGGCCGCCTTTCTGCTCCTGCACAGATCCGGCTCACACTCCTCGCCAGCACCTTCAGACCAGCATCTTCTCCTTTGTGTTGCCGGCCTTCGGGTTTCTTGGCCTCTCAGAGGGCTGCCTCCTTCTCCCGGGCTGCTCCCTTCGTTTGGGACAGCTGTCGAAGGCCCCCCTTGCTTTCTTCTAGCCATTCTCGAGTTCCACAGTTTCCAGGAAGTCTTTGGAACCATTCCTGGTCCTCACCTTTTGCCTTGAGGAGATGGAACTTTTCTGCTGTTACTTTTCTCTCCCTCCTTCCTCTGTTCCGAATGCCTGGTGGGTGGGTACCCGTAGGAGATTTTTGCACTTGAGAGCGTTCATCCGGGTGCATTTCTTGGGAGCTCTCCATGTTCCTAAGCACCACTTGGGGTGGGCTGCACCCTGTCTTGGCCTTAAGTCATCAACGTGCCCATTTTAGGGTCATGAAAAGCTTGAACAGTGCATCAGTAGGCTGTTCCAGAGGGGGCTTGATAGAGTTTTTTCTTGTTCAGAGTTCACGGTGGAGGCACCTTCATAATTTAGCTCCTTGTCTTTACTCTTGGCCCTGTTGTTTAGCAAAGCGTCCAGAGGATCGTGGAGACCTTGAACAAGAGCAGCAAAAACACCACAGTGGTGATGAGTGAGATCGGGGTCACCCAGCCGCTCCCACCATGCTCATTCCAGCGATTCCTGAGGGCCTGGCAGATTCCCGGGGTAGTCCTGGCGGACCACTATTCCCAATTTGAGAACAGGTAATGGATCCTTTTCAGAGGTTTGCTTTAATCTATGAACATTTAGAGAGAAGATGCCTGAAAGTGAGTCTGTGGTTTGACCAAGCTGGAGAGGAGATGCTGGAATTTCAAATGTTTCCTTTCCTTACCTTTCGCCTGCTCCTCAGAAGTTTTGAGAGACTTCAGTTGGAATTCTGTTTGGCTAGTTCAAGTTTCCAGTCCTTAAGGCACTCTTACTAGCTCTCCCCACCAAGATCTCTGAAATAGCCATTCATTGAGCATTGCTGTAAGTTAAGAGGGACTTTGATCAAGACGCAGACAGGCTGCGGCCGGGTGAGCAACCCGCCTTGGGCCATTCAGGGCAGAAAGGCAGTTGAACACGCAGGACCTCCACTTCACTCCCCACAGGTGCCTGGTAGCCACCTAGCAGTGTCTGGCCCCACGTACTGAAGGAGTGCCGGGCTGTTACTTGCATTATTCAGAATACAGATGTAACCTGTAACCTGATTACGAAGCCGCTCTCTCTGGCTCACTTCTTCTCTTTCCATTACTCTTGAAAGCCCAGCAATTTGTTCAAAACCCCAGGTTGATCAAAATCTTCACAGAGCTGCCGCGGCAAAGAACGGCAGTCCGGAATCTGGCCTAAAGCTTGCCAGATGGGACTTTTTGCATAGGACAAAAGCTTGAACTCTCCCCAGCTTGGAGTCCTTGCCAGCGTGGCCCATGGACGAAGCCTTTTCAGAAGACCACATTTTACCTGAGCACCGGGAACTCAGCCGAAAGCAGGGGAGAGGGTCTTGGAACGAGCGTAGCCGTTGCTGGCTGGGGGAGGCAGAAGAAGGCAGAGGGAAAGCAGACGTGCGCCATGTAATTAAAGAGGCGCAACATAATTGTTCTGACAACCACGAGAAATCCAGTTTCGTCTTGCGAACGTTTCCAGCGGCTGGCTGGCTGGCAGCCGCAACTGAGCATCCAGAAGGGACTCATCTGTTCTTCCAGGACTGCTTTGAAACAAAACAAGCAGGGGAAGAAGTATCTTTGTGATGGCCGGGGAAATCCAGATGTTGCAGCCATGGAGTGCTTCCCCGCTTGATCCCCAGGCCCGTTGCCCCACTCCAATATGTGGAAGTCTCTCCTGCCTCGTCGCTCTCATCGCCCACGTTTCCAGACCGAGAGAGGCAAGGAATGGGATCCCGTGCAACTCCTTCGAAGTCCTGGTCCTTGGCTTGTTGACGTTGGGTGGGTGGGGCATGTCTGTAAGTCTAGGTGCTGGTGGCGGCAGAGGGCAATGGGCGAAGCCTTCCCAAGGTTTAACTCTGGGCCAGCTGGCAGTCTAGCCAGGAGTTCCTGCTGGAATGTCGGGGTTCTTCTCTGTGCCCTGCTCGGTCTTGAATCTTCCTGATTCCAGAATCTGCTTCTTCCCCATACGATGGTCTCAGATCTCTGGAGCTAATGCAAGCTTAGCAGATTTACTAGGGGGCAGGGTTTTTTAGGGGAAAAAAAAGCATTTATTTATTTATTTATTTATTTATTTATTTATTTCAATGTAGAAAAATACAAAATATAGGCAAAGCACCAAGATT